TTGCAGAAATTCTTTAATTTCTTCTTTATTTAAAGAAGTATTTGGAATTTTTCTAATTTGGGCTGAATGATACGATGCATCGTGCAATATAATAACAGTACGCCATAGTTTGTTTTCAAACCACACAACCATTTTTGGACCAGCATGAAGATTTATTATGCGTTTTCCGTGTGAAAGGCGGTGTTATCACACCATTCTTTTTTACTGTGTCGTAAGTGGCGAACCACGTTTAGTCTAAATACGCTATTGGTCTATTTTGTTTAATTGTAAAATTCTAATAAATATTTATCTGTACTCTTATCTATCTACCTTTATCTACTGCGAATATAATCTATAGTCTTAAAAAAGAATCGAAGAACTATGTAGAAGACACAAAAATTCAAGAAGAAATGTTGTTAATCGACATGCACCCATGCACACAAGCCAAAAATAATTATTTTCAAACTTACCTGTGAGATAAATGGAGTACAGGTACTTACCCTCACCCTTTGAACTATTCATTGAAAACAGCCTCGCAGAACGATACATATCACCTGAGGTTCAAATAAAAGCTTCCACTTATTGGAAAACAGCCCGCAGCATTAATGCATAATCAAATTTAAAACGGTCCATTTACGTTTCAAATAAGTTTCTACAAATATTCGTCACGGTCTATCTCAGGCAAGAGTTACTTAATGCAAAATAAACATCTGTTGGGATTGGTTTTACCACGGTCCTGCGAAGGTCTGCAGTTAAGGTACTGTAAAATACTTAAAACGTCAAAGCAATAAATGCACTATATTTTTGGTCATATTATAGACGGGTAGATGGACAGATAGTTGACCTGCCTGTGCCTTGGTGTTCAGAAATTAGAATCAGGGTTACTTTCCGGCAGGGATTGGCAGAGTTCGTTCTAAATTTGTTGCGATAGTCGGTACGACTTGTCATGGCATAGTCGGCAATATAATGCCAGACAAAATAAAATTGATCAATGCAAGACAACCGTGACTAACCATCACGATTATATTGCTTGGTATTCTATTATTTTATTTTCTGTATGTGTTATAAAACTGATCCAATTGTCTTTGGTAACTGTACTGCCGTAGTATCATTCTGTCTTGCCTCATTTACAATATTTTTACTAAAAAACGTTTTGAACTGAGCCCACATCAATTCTATGGCATTAAATATACAATGGCAAGGCAATTTAAAGCTTGATGACTCATTTAAGCAATTAGTTAGTCTGTAGCATACGGCAAGTTTGTTTTGTGATTTTTGACAATTTTTAATAACGCACATTTTAGACCATTGATTGCAATTGATAATTTATTCTTTTCTTCTTAATGCATTCGGTACACTTTGATTAAGTCCACGTGCATTGTCCATAATAATTAAAGACGACCTTTTGAGTTTCGGCAGCAATTTTTCAAAATTGGGACCCTGTTTTGTAGTGGACACTACTTAAATTCTCCGGTAACTGGTGCTGTACGACACCGGGACGTAATTGACAAAGAACACAAGCAGTTAAATAGATGGGTTTTGCTATTTTTAGTATACAAGTGGAAACAGTTAAAATACTGAGGCACCTTTTTTCTTGGTTTTATGCCATCGCAAATCGTACAGACTATAAGAAACGAAGTAGTAGGATTGGGCGTTCTAAAAAAGAGAAAATTATTTTCCTAACTGTGTTCAGGGCTGTTTGCAACCTTTTAAATTAAACATGTATTTTGCGTCTAATGAAAATTACGATTATGTAGTAATATTCCATACTTTGGTTCTGCATACAAGTTACTATATACCAATTTCCAAGCGGAAACATAAATCCATCTCGGAGGTGATTCGCAATAGGGTAATTTTGCGGCATATGGCGGCGGTATCCGATAAAAATTATTATCACGCCCGATACACATGCTAAATGTGATACCTGGACCGATAACTACCAAACGACAATCGGAATCTCGATACTCCGGAAATATTTAAACACTTCATGCCGCAGATTCGTTGGTTCTTGCGAAGAATATTGCAATTGAATATAAGGTTCATTGTATTGTTAATACTAGTTTAGAATTAAGGATACTGCTATCGACTTAGTTTGATCAGATTAATTTTGATTATTTGGTTATACCACTAGAAGATGTCCTGAAGATGAGTTTGTTGATTTGACGTCTTTGTTCTCCGCAAGCTTTGATTCGGTGGCTTGCTTTGAAGTCTTTAATAAAGCTTCTACAGATATCGCTTGGAATGGGTTCAAAATAAGCTAATACAATTTGTCATGTGTTATAATCGAAAACCTTTTTAGATGGAAGTTTATTCTATGCTACATGGTGATCCCGCCCTACAATAACTAACGTTACTGAGGACAATCAATGAGAGTTGGCAACTCAAAGACAATACAGCCGGAAGTGACTGATGCAGGAGTAATGAATTGCAATTCTATTGTCCCAGAGCATAATATCACAAAGATACAGCAAGTGTCAATATGGATCAGTACATACGAAACATTTTCCCAACGGTGACCGTGAGTTTGTAACATCTATGTGATTATGCAAGTTGGACGACTCCACAGTAGGTTGGACAGCGAACACTCCTTTTACTGGTGCAGCATTTGCTATGTGTACTTCATTGAAAATTTATGTGCTCCCTGGCATTTTGTTTCTTTTTAAATGGTGGTGGTGTATTTATTCTAATGGGCAATGTTTTAATCATTTTAAAAGTAATTATTTCCATCCAATTGGAAATAAGTTAGTAGTTAATTCTACTAAAGAGTGCTTTTAAAGCGAGAGTCCCATCAGTTGGACAAGAAATTTGAGGTAATTTAACCAAAGCTCTTCAATGGTTTCAGAAAAGTCTTAAAAGTTTATTGGAATAGCTTAAATGACGATCAAAAAACAGAAAAGCGACAACAAACAGTTAGAAATAAAGCGATCAGATTTTCCCAAGTGCTCAATGTTTCTTTTAAAGGGCCAGAATCTTTTTCTAGAGCAAAACGTTCCTCTTATTTTGGACGAGCAAATTGTTTCTGTTTCTGATGCGAGGAAGACATAGATCAGATGCCTCTTTATCTTCTGTATATATTTTTTTAACCTTAGGAATTTAATGGATCAGGCATTGAGGGCGATAACTCACGACTACTAGCAGTCAAACTAATGAATTTGAAACAACACAAGTTGGAAAATAAACGGGGAAAGTATGAACACAATTTTTTCAAACAGAAGATCAAATTACACTGTATACCAACTTCCAAACCATTGAAAGATAAAATAATCCCTTACCACAAGAGCATAGAGATCTGTAGATTTGTTTCACACACTTTGTTTCTGATCGTTATATTAAGAGTAGACTCAAATGAATAACCGGTTGCTATAAACTAATTTTGATATGCAGTTAACTTAATATTGAATAATAAAGCACGAAGAAAAGCCGATCAACACTTTATAGGTTATCTTTGTCGATTGTTACTTGGAGTTTTGGATTATTAAATTGTCATCAAACAGTTACAATTATACACATTTTCAATATGACGAACTTTAATTACAGTGTGACCATAAGTTCTAACACCTTTATTAGGACTATTAACATAAGTTCCTTGGGTCTTTGGTTTTATTCTTTATTCTAATCCAATTTGAAAATTGGTCTAGTCGTTTTCGGATGAAATTGAATGATTGATATTCCGGATAATTTTGCTTTAGTTTTTTAATTTTGCAAAGATAAGATAGGTAATAATATAACCTCAAAATGCAGAAGCTATATTAACAGCATTTGCCCATGATGGTTGCCAAACAGTTGGGAAAAGGTAGCGGCGCTACAGTCTAATAGTTTAAATCAAACTCAACCAAAACATTCAGTTAATGCTCTTCGTTTTTGTTTTATATACATAATATAATATATAATATAAAATGGTCGATTTTAGATTTAAAAATATTGGCAAGAGACCCAACGGAGATAAATCTTTCTAACTCAAATTCATAAATTTTGTGTAAAGCTATATACCATTTAGAAGGTTAGATTCGACACTGTAAAGGTTGGAAAAATTCTTCATCGAAGTGTATTTAGAATATCTAGGGGAATCGGAATATCCATTTTACACTGTGCCTCGAGGAAAGACATTTATAACTGCTCATTAGACTACCATCAGGGCATTACATGGGAACGCTTTGAAAATTGGCTAAAAAATTATCTGCTTCCATATATTCAAACAGGCAGCTAAAAGTATAAGTAGCAAAGAAGAGGTATTGCAAGAGGTCCTTAGTCAGTATACCCTTTCTTTTTTAAATACTTACACAAAAAAACAACTAGTTGTATTGTATTGTAAGAACCAAATCATATGATAAAACTTGTTTCGTAGACGAGATCATAAAAAATCCGCTAAATTACTGCGATTTGAATCCTATAGAAATGATATGGTCCGAATGAAAAATCAGAATTAGACACAATAGTATAAATCCAAAAATGTTCGCCCATGTAATAATAATAAAACTCAGTGCGAATTTATAACAGAGAGCAGTTGGAGAGAATATATGTGAATCAGTACTTAAAGTGGAAAATAATTATAAAAAATTTTGGGGCAAAAGATTCAAACTATTCGGACGGCTAATTACCATTATACATTACGCAATACAACAGAATGTATATATTTTATGTTTTAGTGTACTTACTACTACCCTGATCCAAGAATTTCTGAGAGCAGATAAAAACATTATCAGCATTATTACTAACAGACAGACTAAACAATTCAACACCTATATAAGCAAAAAGCACTAAGTTTTGCAGTTAGTTCACGAATGATTTCAGAAACAGAGCATAGATTTTCTCCCGCAGACAGATTTTTGCTTTCCAGCGTACTGTTTGTTTGTCACCATGTATAAATAATAAAGTGAAGTAAAGAAAAACACATTTATTTTCTGGCAAATAAACCCCGTGCGAAGCCGCTTGTACTATAATACGTAGCGAATGATATATAAATTAATCACGGTGCAGTGGAAGACCGACGCGATTCGCTTTTGATTTTTTTTTTGTTCCAGAAGGAAGAAGTACAAACAGCTGTGGAAAAATGCCGCGAGAACAGTGTGTCGGGAAAGAAAAAAGCACTCGAACCTGTCGTCGATCGCTTTTTCGTTTTTGGAGAAGAGGTCTCTCGACGTCAGCGTCAGCATCAGCCCTCCGACCTCGCCCAAGTGCAACAAAATGGTAAGCGCAGAACGTCGGACGGTGTGACCCATTTAAATCGAAACATTGGAATTTTTACTTTCAAAGGAGTCCGTGTTTATTTCTCGCGACAGTTTACTTTAGGCTACGTACTTATCTTTACTCCGAATAACTTGGCGATTGTCGCGTTGCTAGTTTTTTATTTAGTTCCGTTTTGCGTAAACCTGGGATATATTTTTTTTAATTTTGGGTATTTATTTAAACTTCTTAAATTTTGGAGTAGTTTATATAAGAAACAAATCTTGATATCTTGGTGAAATTTGGTAAGTGGTGGCAACGCTTCTTTTTTATTTCCACCAGTGGCGTCGTTGCGCGACTAGTTTAGTCATTTGCACCGTCCATTTGCAACAGTGGACCCGACGACAAGGACCCTAATTTTTTTAACTAAATAATAGGGTTCCTTTGGAAGTTAATTGCTCCTGGTATATGCATCGCTGTATTTTGTAGCGCTTCAGTGGACCAGTAGGCCAATATATTATGCGCAGCCTGGAGATGTCCTTTATGTGTGTTCTGATAACAGATATCTATATATCTGTCTATTTATTATTTAGTCTTTTTCGAACATTAGTCATCTAGTCTGTTGATCACTCATTCTGTTCAACTCATTTTTCTCACTCAGTTTATAACACTTATTCCTTCGGTTTTCTTTTTGTCTGATATTGTGACTGGTGGATTTCCAGTTTGACTTCCCTGGTTTGCCAATATTTGATTTTGTAAGTATCCATGTTTGGGACGTACGCACTGATGCTTGGTTTTCAGGAATTATGGATATCTTTAATTTTTTAGGGTGCAGGTTAATTGGACCAAATGCTAATCATGCCAATCTAATTCGCCTCTTTATTTCTGCGGTTTTCTTTGTTAAGTTTAACAATTTGTGCCAGATTGCGACATTTTCACCTGTATCGGTTATGATTGTAGTTTTCGTGTAGTTCATATTGAGACCTATATTTTTAGTCGCTGTGTCCAGTTCCTTCAGCATTTCCGGCAGTATTTTTTTTCATCAGTTATCAAGGCGATATCAAAAGGTATCTACATATTTTTATACCATTTTCTTCCCAGTATAGTTTTTTAAAATGATCCTCAAGGGCCTGGTGAAAAAGCTAAGGGCATTTTTAAAATCTTAACAAGCAACATTCCCTCTAATTTTTTATATTTACAGGAATTTTACGAGAAAATAGTGTTTTCATTATTGAATATATATTCGGAGGAAAATTTGTAAGTTTTAGTCAAAATTGGGTTTATTCTCTTCAGTTGGGTCACCAAAAATAGCCTCAGGCATTTAAAACGGCCTGGCATTTTCCGCCAGGAATTCAAGACATTCCAAATATGAGGTTTAGATCTGGCAGTTACGATGGTCATTCAGGTACAGTTATATTTTTGTCTCTGAACCATTTTGTCACCAGCTTGGATGATTGGGTATGTGTACATGTGTACATTTCACCTTCTACTTGAATGATTGTCAGTCACAGATCAATAAAAACATCCCTAGGGCATTATGTTCTCTTTTCCCTGTTTCACAGTAAGGCTTTCTTACTTTGCTTTGAGTCTTAACTTCGTCACTCCAAAGAACCGTATTCCATTTTTCTCTTGACCTAAACAGATTAAAATGACCCTGATAAACCCCATTCGTAAATAGTAAAGAGTCATTGAAAAATAAGATTTTCTTATCAATATTAACTGAATCAACAACATTGTGTCAAGGCACACTCTCAAATAGCTCTAGATCAAGCATTGTTATTGGCCTGTACTCAAACTACAAAAACTACAGTTTCAACCGGGAGTCAATTACGGAGTTAGTTTATGTAAGTGGTTCTGGGGAAAGTGTATTTACTAATCGAACGTATGATATCCTGATAATGGGAATTGCTACAGAGATGAACTTTAGTTCCTGATTCAGGTTGAGACAATCATATTCTTTTGAAGACTGAGCAAATAATCACTGAAGATTTTTGGGTTCTATAAGTATAAGTACAAATATTTGTTTCTAAATCAGTTGCCAGATTCCTATAAATTTTTGTTTTTCTTTCGCGAAACCGATGAATTTATTGTAATTAAATTTATCCAGGACAAAAATCTAGGAGTCTGCTTTCAATTCAGGAGAAACATTTATTTCTATTTCCAAGTAATATTGATTGTATAAAATGTTAAGTGTTCGGATTTGGAGAACTGAGACAACGTTATTAAGCTGTTTACTGGGTAAAATATTATAATCTATATTTCAGATATAATAAAACAACTTATTTCAAATGGAATACCCCATATTTTCACTCAAATTCGGATACTTTCAATAACTTTTGATAATATTTGCCTTTGGTTTCAAAAAACACCATGTTAGATAAGATGAATTATTTATGTTTGTGAAGGAGCTAAAAACCTTTTTTTTTCTGAGTTTTACGATGCAATCGTGTAAAAAATTGTGCAATATTACCTAGATAAATTACAGGATATTAGAAAACTTATATTCGGAACAGAAATAAATTTAATTAAATGAAGGACGACTATCTTATTTACACTATTCGGCTATTGTACTGAGTGCTGAAGAATTAAATGATGCATTTGCGATATTGCATCATGTTGAAAAATTGAATGCCAAAAAACATTAGCAAACAGAAAGTTAGAAGACTTGTTAATATGATCGCAAAAATTATAAATCAGGCTGGCAATACACCCGGAAATCTATCTTCTAGGACCTGGAGTTTGGTGTTTGATGGTTTCGTAAAAATCAACTTGTTATAACTTACGAGGGATTTTTCACATCCTGCAAACTTCTGCCAGTTACCATAATATACACTAAATCATGTACCAAATTTCACAAATATATCTAGAAATCGTTGTGTATATAATATAAAAAAAATGTAAAGATTTTATCACCCTTTATTTACGTTGTTTAGAACATTCCTTCATACGATTTTTTTAATGAGCTTAGGAATCGCCCTCTTCATTATTGACACATCATTAACGAACACCCTGTATTTTGAAATGAAATGTAACAAGAATTAAATTAATGAGACTTTGTGCGAGAACGCTTATCGAAAAATACTGTTTCGTGATGGAAAGTGGCGTGTCCATAAACAAAAAACTACGTTTAAACATCAGCTGGAGACAGGCAGACAGACGATCGTGTTATCGTAGGGATACACTCCGAAACGAAATACATTCGATGCTTAAAACATTTTGAGCGGCAGGACGAAGGCAATCATTTGCGGCGGTTTGGGGATCATTCTTGTAGATGGCGGATGGTTTAAGAATGGGAACATTAGTAGGAACCATGTTTTTCGTTTTTTTTTTCAAAGAAACTTTCACATACTATATGAAAATTTTCTGGATTCCTCCTGTTTGGTTACTGATGAATCGAACTTACTGACGTTTCGCCAATCATCCTGTGGACTTCTTCAGATAGCTTAATTGTTTTAGATTCCACCTCGATTCGTCAAAAACCGACGCAGGAAGAGGAATCCAGAAGATTTGTAAATAATGTTTAACCGTTTTCAATAAGGGTTATTGTAAGGTTGATAAAAGTTTTCATAACTTAAAATTAGCTTCTTTGCAATTCGTTGTACAGGTTTTATTAAGTGTTGAAAACTACTATGTCTGGACGTTGGGCATAAGAAAAGTAGAGAAATTATGCTTATCTTAATATTTTATAGCAAGGGGACACAATTAAGAGGATAATTATGCTCAAGTTAAACCCTAAGTTAAAACTTCGCAAAGTTTTGTCCGACACTCATTGGTGCCCGATCTTAATTAGACTGGCGAGCTCATGATTTTATAATTATTTAAGTTCAGCAAACTAAAATTAATAAATATTGGTATATATTAGTTCCACATAAAATACATAAAACATATTTTATAATTTGTCACGAACATTAAAATATTTCTGTATAGTTATGATATCGTACTCGGAAAGCAGATTAAATATGCTTGAAAAAACATTAAACCCGTTTTATATTTCTTTTCAAAATATTGCTTTTTAATACTTTCATTTGAAAAATTGTTCTTTGAAACAACCAACATTTTGCTGACATCACGTCAATATTTATGGGAACTATTGAGAATTATCTAAATCCAAAACTGTGGAGATACGACTATGATGAACTTTTAACTGTCTCAACTCACATCACAGAAGTCAGAATTAAAACACTTTACAAAGAATCACAAATAAAATGAGTCCGAAAGTAATTCCACTATTTCCACTGTGGTCGTTTCATACGTTCAAAACATTACTGATCATATATCAGAAGTTCTTAAGAAATATAATGTTATATAACCAGATTTACCACAGGGCGAAAAATATCAACTAGGCCAAAAGAACAGAAAGAGTCTTAAGAGTACTACAAATAAACTCATCCGCAATGGCAGTACATAATCATGGCGTCGGATCAAGTCTTATTCGCTCAAACTAAGATCCTTTCGTGTAGTCTTTTAGCAAAGAAATATCCAAAAATCCCCTTCCCTTCCCCTTCCCTTCTTTAGCTCCATCTCCCTCAAACTCGCACAACAAAAAGTTTTCTATCTGAAAATGTTGCCATCCATACCCTGTCATGCCACTGATGACATAGTAATAAAAGCTAATATAATAATATAATAATAATTATTTTGAGCCGTTGAAACATATCACTTTTACGTAACGGTGACGTCATTGGTATGTATGAATCCACATTAAGAAATAAGTGAAGAACTTCTTCTTATCATGGGATCTTGTCAGTGAAGGTTAGCGACGACACTTCTAAATCAGCCTCCTGCCACATTAGTGTAAAATAACACTTTATACATATATTTTTGAGAAATATTGGTATTGAACTCCCGATACGAACCCAAAAATATAGCCGAGAAGTTCTCACTCCCCCCCCCCCCCACACACACACGTCAAAGTTTGATTCGCTTGCACAGAAAAAACAATCCTCAGGGTGAGCCTTTGGCTTTGTAAACTCACGAGAACATATTACAGGATTTTTTATATTCGCCATTAAATTATACATAAAACTGTCTTTGCATCTCTCTGACCCAACGTTCTTAAATGACCTTGAGAATGAGCAAAATATCCATAAAATCGGAATTCTGTAGTTCTGTCTTTCAAGGCCCACGTCATGTAAACAGTTTTATGAACAAGTGTTATTGGTCATATGTTAATTTTTGTTGTTCTTATGAGCTCTTTTCCTCACCATCCTTGAAGTACGTTGGAGTTTTTGGCTCAGTTTTTTAAAGTGGTTCTCCTTCAAGCCTATTCCGCAAGTGAAATGTAACCATTTAACCTTGCTGATGATTCTTTTGGCTTCTTTAGAGTTAGTTTCAGAGCCTCAGTGTTTCAGTTAGGTTCTGAAGAAGCCACTGGGATAATTGGCGAAACATAAGCAAGTTCTATTAATCCACAATAGGTCTAGGAGGAATTCAGAAGATCTGTAAATAACTATTTAATCATCTGCTTATACAAAATCCTTCATCTCGATCAGGGATCTTTCAGATGCATTTCAGATCATCTTAGAAACATTCCGTAGGAATACTATTTACAAAACTTCTGGATTCCTCCTGTGTCGGTTGATGTTGAACTCACTGACGTTTCGCCAATCGTCCTGTTGGCTTCTTCAGCGCTTAACTGAAAGGACATCCTTTCAGTTAAGCTCTGAAGAAGCCAACAGGATGATTGGCGATACGTTAGCAAGTTCGACTCAACATCAACCAACGCAGGAGGAATCCAGAAGTTTTGTAAATAGTATTACCGTAGTCTGTGGAAATTTCTTTGAAAAATCCCATAGGAATTTTGATGTTAAATGATGATAAAGCAGTTGCCTAGTACATCCTTGGGATGTTACCTGAAAAATATAAACATTGTTGTACTGTTTCTATTTTCAGAGAGGGTTGTTTCTAGGATTTTTCTACCATGTTCTCTTGTATTGTGCAGCGCAAACCAACTTTCTCACGGCTGTAACCCTTTCCACATATGCTTTAAGGATTGAAATTGGAGCTGGCGTTTGAATCATAATTGCTAGCAATAGAATTTTGTTAATTTTCCTTCAGTTCCATTCAATTGTATTTGTTCTTATACTAAAGCGCGTTTTATTGACCAACTCATGACCACTGCACCGTTGCTAGTGGCAACAATTATAAAAAGCCTGGACAGGAACCGATTTGCTTACAGTCATTTCCGGTCTCTTTGTCAGACAAAGGCATTCGCTTTCTGAGAGATGATCATTGAAATATTAAGAAATGGGCGCTTATTTCCCACTACTTAGAAAATTTGACACTTTAAAAGGATTGCAAAGTTTTTTATTTTATTTTCCCGTGCGTTAAGAAGACGCTACATTACTTTTCGGAAAGGAATGTCATAGACTATCAACTTAATAAATACAAGGAAAGATTTACATGAAGGCAGAGCTGGGGAGCAATTTACACTTGCCTAATATAAGGGACTACGAAATGCAATATCTTCATTTTATTTATTAATTTAATTGTCCAATCGAGTCACCTAGTCCTACTCAAGGGTCAGCTCCAGCTTCCGTTGTTAAACTTATGTGTGAGTGTTGATTTGAGCTACACTACATTAACCTCTAATTGTCAGGACATGGACATGGGAAAAACGACTTAAAAAGACGGACCGAGGACTTCAATCTACCTCAAGGGTAGTTTGGAACCGAACTCAAAGTACGGAATCAGAGGTGAAAAAATTTTTATTTTATCACTAACCCTCAGTCAGACCTCGCAGCGAAAGAACTGCTCTTTCATTTTGATGAACAATTCCTCTACCGTCATGTTTGTCCATTCTCTTATGTTTTGAAAGATGCATTCATTTATTTATTAATTGCATTATGGTTTTAGCAGATAATATAGGCTATATAGGCTGACTTGCGTATCTTAATAATGTTTAGAATCTGTTGGAATTATCTGTATTTGTAAGTAAGGAGGGTAGCCTACATTACAGCACATGTTTCAGCAGGTCCGTTGTGCCTTACGTCAAGCCTATTGACGTAGGCGGTGACAAGTGGTTACCGTAGGGGATGCATATGATTCGCCAACCTTGGCTTCACTTCTAATTAGGATATTCGCACAGAATGTGTTCTACTATCTCGTCTTCCTGTTCGCATACTCTACACGTACGGGTGGTACTCAAAGCCAATTGATAGTTTTTAAGTAAACTTTGACTCGTAAGAATACTTGTCTCCATTCCTAGCTTTTTCCTGGACATAGTCAGGCATTGTTTGACTGCTGGTTTGGATAGCTCAATAACTTCCTAACATTAATTTTAATAAAATTAAATCAAACTTGTTGACATCTCGCTAATCATCCTGTTGGCTTTTTGAGAGCTTAACTGATACTGGCTCGCATTCCACTTATATATTGTTTGATGGGTGCGGAACTAAAGGAGCAGGAGAGGATTTGTTAATAATATTACTGTGAAAGTTTTGTGTAAGTTTACTTGAAAAATATTTTTTTGGTGTCTCAATATTGTAGAATTTTTTTCCGGGAGTTCTACTTTATCAGCTCTTTAATGACTGACGTTGCCAGACCGACAGATGGCTCCGGTGTACGTCTAAGGTCTATGAAGTACCAGAACTGCTTGTCTGCTATCTGTGTAAGGCTTGTCGAATATAAATTCTGGAGCAATTGAATTCTTACTGTCCGCCAATCGTGGCAACAAGGTCGTCGCCTCATTCTAGATCCGATACCGCATGATGGTAAGAAGCTGTTGCTGATAATTCTAGGTGTCCAAGGTATCCTTAATATACACCTATACAGTCACATCTCGAATAACCCAAATTTTGTCATGGTTTCACTTTTCATAGTCAACCGTTTCTAGCAGTCGATCATCCTTCTCAAGTTTATACTTCTGTTTGTGAAGATTGATGAGTACTAGACGTATGCCTTTCGAGCTATTGGTATTGGTCTGGATCTAGTTAGTTATTTGTGAATGATCCGAGATAATTGCATTTCAAAACAAACATAAGTCGGATGTAGAACACTATACAAAAATAGGAAGATATTTAACATACACCATAAGTTCCAATAATGGAGAATTTGATATATCGTTTAAACTGCATCTGAGTCATTGAAGAGATGTCGAGGTTAAAATTCGAGTTAAGTGTATTATACGAAATTTGCATTCTTAGCAAAGGGGAATGCTGCCCTGTGTTGGTTCTACTATGACGGATTTCAAAGAGATTAGCGTATTTTAAATCTCGAGCAGGAATTCTAAAGTTTAGTTTAGTTTGTGAGTTTGTTATTTTGTAGAGCATACGCAAGTCTGCCACATTTCGTTTATCTTCCAAACTAAGTATTTTGAACCGATTTTTAATCAGGCGATAATCTCTGTCTTCTATACGAGTGTGGGTCTTAAGAGCGAGAAATTTTAAGAATTTATTTTGAGTGTTCTCGATTCTGTTGATATGAAGTGCTTAGCGTGGATTCCAGATAACAGGTGCGAAAGAAATCCTACCTTGAATAAAAGCATAATATAAGGAAATAAGCGTTCTGGGATCATTGAAGTCAAGGGAATTTATATTAATAAAACCAACCATTCTATTAGAGTCATTTGACCACCAGAAAGCAGTATATTGCAGCATCTAAAACAGTTTCTTATATTGTTGATATATATAATAAAAAATAGTTGGCCCAGGTGACTATCCTGAGGGACTCCAGACGTTGCATGAAACGGGTCTGACACATGTCCAGTAATCGACACAGCGCTCTCCTCTCAGAAATATAAGACGTTTTATTTGTTTACTATTCCATACAAGAACCGAATTTCGTGTTTATTTTTTAACTATGACTGTTTAACTTTTTGGATATTGATGGTGAGTGATGCCTCTCTGAAAATGCAGTGATTTGGATATGTTACCCGTTCAGAGCTTTCCCAATCTTAATATGATCGGTACACGGACGAGTCACAGACAAAATTCTGACAAATATTTTCGAATTTTAATAAATGTAGACATGGCCGGTGACCACTCGAAACGAAACAGCCTGTACATGTACATTATATGTGTTACTAGTGGTTAGTTTTTATTCCTGCTTTAAGGCGAGTCCTAAGGTGACAAACCACGAAACCAAGATTTGTATGGACGACGAAAATATACAACCGAACGGAACTTTGGATAAAAGTCTCGACACTTTGACCGACTACCTTAGCATGGAGAAGGAATATTTTTCCGAGAACGGGGATAAAGGTAACTTATTTGCAGTTCGACGGTTTTTAAATTTATGTGAAGGGCGAAAGCCATTTCCATTCTCTTAAAATTCACCCCCAAACTTTCTCAGATTATGTCCATTCGTATTTTTTCAGCTGACTTCGCGACGGTGTTTAAAAAGGGTCTGATGTACAAGGGAATATACTGGCCCAGTTTAACGAACAGTTTTCACTACAAACACCTCGAACTGGCTTACCTCAGATACTCGCACAGGCAAAGGCAGAAGGCCCTGATTATCGTCAATATTGTCGATTTAATCTTAAAGGTAAGTTGAACTTTAGCCTATTAATATATACCTTGTTTTATAAAGGCGCTGAAATAATAGCGAAAAAAGGAAATAAGAAAATCTTAAATTCCAAGTTGAAAATAAGATAAAATGAGATTGCCCACTCTTAAGTCTCGTTACATTGCTACCGAGAACGTAATAGGAAAAGGCAACTGCAATGAAATTTTTTGGGGACGTTATTATAATAAGATCCGTGTACTATTCTTATTAATAATTTAACACACGATAAGTGGTCATACTGTAATAATGGTATTCATATTTTTATTTGTTCGTGGCATTTTTAGGCCAATAACTCAAACCAGTGCAGGACAGTAGTAAAGAAATTCAAACACAACACTCATGAATAAATTCTGTTATATTGCTCGCTGTAATTGTACCGTATGTCCCAGTAAGAGCAATGAGGTACGGTATTGGTAAAACGGATGTTCCTAAAGGTTTGAAGGCGTAATTAAGACCCGTTTCCTGCAAAAATTTTCGTATGTCAATGATAATTAAAGCGAACACTATTTTAAAATCGTGACAATTTAAAATATTTTTTTCAAATGTAAAGGGGTAGGGGATGTTCCAATATTTGCCAATGAACTTAAACAAACTTGGAGTAGTTTAGAGTATCAAGGGTGTTATGAGCGAGATTGTGGAAATGGAACGACTTGATTTTTTTTACGTCATTAAATAGTCAAACAAGAACGCAATAACCCAGTGAAAACCGCGTCTCAACATTCTTATCCTAACGGCGCCTATTAATTAATAAATTCATCTGAACATTATGGAAACAACATTGATAACGTTAAAACACAACAAAAATTACTGAAAGGAGAACCAGAAATTTATAAATACTCAATGTGCCGCTATTTGCTATGCAGAAATTTATCATGCGGCATGACTGTTGTGTGTAATTTCAGCTCTTGAAAAGTGGGCAATAGCATTTCATATAGGATGAAACTATATTTTCAGGGGTAGTAGCCCGAGTTTGATAGAAAATATCTTTTATTCTACCTCAAAGATAAAAGCCCAGAACAGTAAGGTCTGCAGATCTGGCATGCACACTCTTCAATGTTCACAAACAGAACTCTAAACTTGAGGAGGTCGATCCACTGCTATGTTTCGTTGACATACTACAAAATGGGGTGGAAATATTAAAAATGTCTGAATCATTCGAGATGTGACATCTAGAATTACGAAAAAAACTGTTTGGAATAGTCTTCTCGTTTGCAAAGGATTTTTTTTGTATAAAATCGGCAAGTGGTTTCTTAAAACGTTCAAATAAATTTGGACATTAACTTTTATATATAGAACAAAGAACAGTCAAAAGAACAGCTGAAAGTAGCAAAACCGTTTGGCATCCAACCCTAGAGCCACAGTGTGAAATAGATATTATTTTTCTTCTAGGTACAGGTACATTCAAAATGCAGTTCGATGAACTGCCAAATCTCGTCTAAATAATATATGTATTTCGTTTTTTATGCGAAATTGATGAATTTGAGCTAAATATTTTTGTCTCCACCCCAATCTTCGGGTCCTTTTAATGCAATTATGATTTTCAGTATTTTAAAATCTACATCCGATTTTGTGCAGAAAATGGCGCAATGTTTCATTTTCTTTTAGTTTCTATTACAATGATTCAAATTGATTGGATTGGATGACTCTCGCGTTTACTTGCGAATCTATCACCATACCCAAATACTTTCATTATGCCCTTGTCAGAATATTTTATATTTTTGTATTGAATTATGATCAAGGAATCGACGCAAGGTTGACCTTGGAATGAGAGTTAATCCTGTTTCCCCAATGGCAACTTCTTTGTCTTTCGGCCTTTTTAGAAGATCAATTTTTGTAAATCGATCTTCTGGTAAACGTTGACTGATGATGAAATTTAAAATGTATATACATGGAAACAATATCCTCAGTTAATAAAAATAAAAATATAAGCATTATATACATTTTACCACCACAAATGATTTTAATAATTCCAAGTTGTCAAAACTACTAAAATAAAAATACCTCCTTGTATTGATAAACGTTTGTAAAACGAGTTTTTATTGGTTTATTCTCGGATCATTAAGGGTAAACGGCCTTTCGTTTATGATAGATTACGCAAGTCACTTCCACTTATCGTGTGCTGGACTATACAACCCTGCTGACCAACTTACAGGGGAGTTTTTTATGTTTAGCACAGGTCTCTCGGAAACTATGAAGATTTGATAGCTGTCAATAGATATGCATATTACTTTTGGATAAAATGGCACAACAAAATAAAACTTTGTTTTGGCATATATATATATATATATATATATATATATATATATATATATATATATATATATATATATATATATATATATATATATATATATATATATATATATATATATATATATATATATATTCTCACGTATTGATTCACGGATGGAAAAATGTGATGACACTATATTCCGGGATATCATCCGTTCGCTCGTTGAACTCCGACTGGAATCCTGCATCCGACTGGAATCCTGCAAATCTTGCATCCGACTGGAATCCTGCAGACGTTTCGCCAAAATCTCACTTGGCATCTTCAATGCTCGCGCTCCGAAAACACTTCGAACACAGTGTTCGAATAATTATATTGTAGCATTGTATTATTTAAACAACTTGCTTGCTTCATGAGGTGCAATATAAATACGTAAGTTTTAGCGATTGTAAGTGAAAATCGCAGCACTTGCACAAGAGTAATTTTGTAAGTGGTTTCGGAATGTGTGACAGCGCCATAAAGACTTGCTATTTAAGATTTTCTGGGCATATGATTCAAAATTTAACAATGTTCATTCGTCATAATGAACATTTACGATTCCAAGAAAAGCCTTTGTATGTTTCTCTTTCTGCTACAATAAATTTTTGCTTAGCTGGGTGCATAGAAAAATCGCTAAAAATCAGTTTTTGATATATCCATTGGCAGCTTAAAAAAACCGAAAATGGTTTACAAATCCGCAAGTTTCTTTCCATTTACACTTTTTTCGGTCATCAGTCATCTACAATACTTTTGTGATGAATTCCGTGCTCTCTTACGAGGTTTGTTGCTGCTAATCTCGTGGTATCCATAATGTAGCGGATTATCTTTTAAAGCGCACTAAAAAGTCAGTTATATTCCCAATTCATGAGGGGAGTACACGCTTCTGATGTCCAATTACCGGCATACATTTTTAGAGAAGAATAGAGAGAAGAATAAGTCGTTGCCTCTATTTTTTGATTTGAGGATAGCGTTTGATGTAGTAAATAGAAAATTAATTGCTCATTGCTGGATGAAGACTTACCTCAAGGGTAGAGAACAAGTGCCACATTGAAAAGTATGTGACATTTCGGTCAATTCCTATTGTGCTCCAGTTATTAGTGGCATGAGTCTAGGAAGCAGTTCTATTGAGCAACTATGAAGCTCAGTACAGAGGTACAGAGTAATGCCATTGTTAGACAATGTGGAGTTAGACAGGGTTGTATTCTGTCTCTGACATTCAACTTATACTTGGAGGAAATATTTACCACAATGTTGGTAAACATCGACCATGGAATCCTGCTCAATGGAAAACGTACTATTTGTCCACAGTCAGATTGGTTTGCTAGACCTGATGAACAGCAAAAACGATGCCAGTGAATAATATGTCTACCTGTCAACTGTTAAGCAGAGACTTGAACGGGTCTCTAAATTCATCTCTTTGCGAACTAGAAAGCAAGACAAACTTTTCGCAAAATGTCAAAAGTTTTTAAAATCCGCAAGTCCATGGCAAGAGGGAAGAGGGTTCATAGTTGAAGAACTTAAGAACATGGTTCCCCAAAACAAACACTGAATTATTCAAAGGAGCCCTAAACCAGGTCATTATAGACAGGATGGTCGCTAATAGGCGCTTGACGAAAAAGCTGCCCGTTAGACTCTACGATATACTTTCCACTGCGTCTTCAAGAGTGCGTTTAAAAAAAATGGCAACGAAAAACATAAAATTGTTTTATATTTTTATGTAATATATACTAAGATTTTGTTATTGTTAGAAGTAACATTATCCTATACTTTGCAAAAAAAAACACGGAGGAAACAAAGATTTATCTATTGCCTATTGTCTACTTTTTGACAGTAAACGTTGTGATTTAGTTCTGGTTAGTTCAACCGAAGTTCTCAATTTCCTCGCCCGATCGGATAAAAAGGATATTACGTATCCCTTACTCGACTCGGTTTCCCGTAAGCTAAAAAGGGTTTTTAAATTAAACCACGTCTGTCGCATCTTTGTGATGAGATTGCAGTATAAGTTGATCATTTAAATCTCGTGATAGCGAGCCTGCAGGTCATAAAGAGTTTTCCTTTCAGGTAGCTCTGATATTCGTATGGGCGTACAGCGAAAAACACATAGTCCTATCAACGCACGCGGACGAGATTACTTGGTCCGTTTGTTGCATGTCCGTCAACATTGCAGTTTGCGTGTTGGGGTGGTGGAGATGCTTTGCGAACAACTACCTCCATTGGGCAGCGACTTGCACCTGGCTGCTGCTTACCACGCAGAGTGAGTTCTCGTTAGTTTTGGCATTAAATTAGACGATAATACTTCTACAGGGTGTTTCGAAAAATTTAAGGTGGTAATTCCTTGTATATGTTTTTTATATAAAATATTAAGTATCATAAAACCACACTTTCTGCATATTTTCTTTTTTTTTTTTTAATGGAGGAGATTCAGTTAGACTACCACTATCGTTCTTCTACTTAACTAGATTTTTATTATTTTGGAAAAATATTTTAGTAGTGTGCTGTCAAACAGTTTAAAAATTTACATTTTTAAATTATTTATTAATTAAAATTTATGAAATTCATTAAAGATAACAAGTTTCCGAGGCATTTCTGCATTCGCGTAATTCACCATTACTGAACAATTAATTGATCAGATAATAAATTTTTAATTAAATTAATCGAACTTTGAACTAAAATTAATTGCTCAGTGTCAAATAAACCAATAATAAGGAATGCCTTAAGGAGTGATTGCAGCCCACTACATTTCATGATTTTATTGCATTCTGTACCAAATATGTTTGGCACAAAGGCAAAGTTTAAGGTTATATTTTACGATAGCCTAAAAACGAAAAGTATTCAATCTCTGTATCATTACTACATAATTGGATTATTCTACACTATTAAAATGTTTTAATGAATTCAAAATTTATTTTACGCCGAAAAAGTTTTATTGTTATTATTATCCAAGATTGGTAAGTTATTTGTTGCAGATTTATGGTTATGATATAATATATTTTGATCTTTTTAGTTAAGAAAAATTAGCTAATCTTAAGATAAGTGTACCTTGAAAGCCCAGTGGCCTTCTTGCACTTTTTATTGAATAGTCTTGCCAAGACTTTTTTGCAACCTGACGAGAGAAAGTGTTGACATACTCGTAATTAAAAATTTAGTTCGAAGTAATGAATCATATGCAGTGTAATACTCCCTACAAAAAATTATTGCTGATAAAAGCAAGTTATTGTTCTTTAAAACTTCCACTAAAATTAATCATCTCACATCTTGCATAGTTATAAATGATTTACTATCGCTTTAACTACATCAGCCAAATCTTCTCTTGGTCTTGGTCTTTTTCCGGGGTCTCTTGTTTCCTGGCGACTTTATTACGTTATCATTAGATTTTAAACGCCTTTTTATTCTTGCAACAATGGATGAACTAATATTTAGTGCCTCAACCACCCGCTGCAAAATTAGAAGGAATTACTAATCAAATGATATCCACAATTGTCTTAGTTATATAAACCTCTTGGATAGCGAACAGTGATAATTTAACTTTTTCTTGTTGAAAATAATTTAGCAATGATACTACTGGACCCTGCGATTAAGAGTTAAGGATTCTACCTGTCATAGCCAAAACTTGTTCAACAAAAAATTAAAAATAACTGTCAGTTTAAAACTATTCCTTTACATGTATATCTTTTAAGGCGCAACATTGGGTTTTACATGGTAAACATTCAAACCCTTGTACACATTTGTACTGTGCCCATCTTGCTACAAATGTCCAAATACTAAAGAACACTTTAAAATAAAAATGATGTCACAGAAAGACAATTATGGGGGACGAATCACTTGACAATAAAAGAGCCTCCTATTGTATTTTTTCGGCTTGTTTTGACAATATTCATATGTTGATATATTTTTGATATCTAAATTTCTTCAAGATTTTACAGAAGAAATATGCTTAACATGCGTTTTAATATTTGAGAAGTAAAACACTGTTTGGCGTATTGACTTGTTACGTAGTACTTTGATTATTATGCTGACAAAGAATTTTTGTTCTGGAAAAGACTAAAAATGATAAATAGCAAAGATTGTATATGACAAAAATGAATTAAAAAACCGATCATCAAAATATAAACACAAGCTAAACGTGTTCATTTTTATCGGATATGTGCACCAGCCTTACTGTTTGGTTAGGACAACAAAATGGGTAATTCTTTTTTTGTAATGCATTAAATATAGAATCTATTGTTTTTATAGAAAGTAATATATAATGTGAAATAAGTAATCTACAAGAAAAAGAAGTGTTAGACTAATACTAATAGTAATACGATGGCATAAGTACAACAGCTGAAATGAAATGAAAGATTATTAAAAAACTTAAATTTATATTACTGATGTGGTGAACACATGATAACAATTTCAGTTTACTTTCAAGTTTCTGATGGACTGCACATAATTTCTGGATGTAACATATAATATAAAAATAAAAATATATTTGGGTTAGTGTCGTATTTGCCACCGTTATTTTTTTTCTCGTTTGCATGAATTTTTGAAAATGACATATTTTTAAAGGCATCGCTTTCTGCTGTTTTTGTAGTGTTCGAAACATTAATAAATATCCGCCAATTTACTTAAAAAAAAGAAATTAAACATAAATGCCATAAAGTTTCGGCAATGAACACTCTAAAAACTAACTTTAAGCTCAATTATAATGAAATTCCCAGTTTGGACGCAGTTAAATATTCCCGTCGGTTTCATAGATTTGAAAAATGTTTACATAATGGACTTTCTTGTTCAAAAGCAAACTTTACGAGTTTGGTTATGCAAAATTGACAGTGCGGCTAGTTAAGTGAAGTTAAAGCTGCGACAATAGACTTTCGTTTACCAGAGAGTCGTATCACAAATTATTCGGCGATGATGAAACTTAGTTAGTTTTGGTAGTTTTGATTGGTAGTTGAACCATATATATAACAAATATTCTATGTAGTTGAATATAGAATGATATTGCGTAAAACAGTTTCCCTCATCTGTTCAGCTAAACCACCACATATATTTCGTTTTTTAGTAACATATGATTTTCGCACTTTAAAAAGCTTGCAATTGGACTCAAAATAAATATGATTTTATAACAAATATGGTGAAGTTTCAGTTTTTTTACTTGATAGATTTAGTGCTTTCTACAGCACACCTCTGTGATACTTATCCATTACATTGACACTATTATCCACGATGTTTTTCAAAAGATAACTTTCAAACATATTTGAAAAATTTCTGCGCTTGTATTTTCACAATAGTCTAGGCCAGGGGTTCCCAAAGTGTGCGCCGCGGCGCCCTGGTGCGCCGTAGAATGTAAAGAGGGGCGCCGTAAGTCCATCATCATTCATTATCCGAAACATGTCCGAAACAAATATACGCGGGTACCTTATTTGAGCCCTCGCATCTATAAAAACATAGTTACCTACTAACCATCGCGTCGCGGCGTTTCTCACTCGCCAAAAAACCTACGCCCGCGCCGCCCTGATACCCTACCCCCCCTCCTAAGTCTTTAGTAGCATCGGGCGAGCTGCGACGGACGGACGTGTCATAGTGTTTTCTTTCGCTTTGTTTTTCGTCAAATATCTCACGCAAAATGGACAGATTTTTATTAAATAAACAAGTTGGCAGTCCAAATGACAGTGATAATGCATCAACTAGTAATGGCAAGGAAGCAAAGAAGCGGAAATATCGTAAATACGATGATAGCTATTTGGACTTTGGTTTTACTTCAATAGAAGTTAATAATGAAGAAAGACCGCAGTGTGTGCTTTGTTTAAAAATATTGTCATCCGAAAGTATGCTTCCAAGTAAGTTAAAGCGACATCTTGAGACAATTCATCCAACTATGGTTGAAAAATCGCGTGATTTTTTTCACCGAAAATTACAAAATTTAAATAAAACAAAAAACGTATTCACTCAGCAAGCCTCAGTACCTAACAACGCACTGTTAGCATCATTCAAGGTAGCATACAGGGTGGCAAAATGCAAAAAACCTCATACTATTGCAGAAGAGCTTATTCTACCGGCTGCTCTCGACATGGTAAACATTATGGTTGGAGAATCGGCAGGAAAATTAATTTCCAAGGTACCCTTATCTAACAACACGATCGGTCGAAGAATCCATGACATAGCTGAGGATCTCAATTACCAATTAATAGAAAAAATCAAAAACAATTATTTTGGTTTGCAACTTGATGAGGCTACTGACAGTAATAATGATGCGCATCTTATTTGCTACGTACGCTTTCTGACTGACAATATTATTGTCGAAGATCTGTTATTCTGCAAAACCATTACCGAAAGTGCGAAGGCCCAAGACTTATTTGAAATTATTGACAATTTTTTTGTAGAAAATGGTTTGAATTGGGAAAAGTGTATTGGTATTTGTACTGATGGCGCTCGATCCATGTCTGGCAGGTATGGAGGAGTACAAGCGCTTATTCGTAAAAAAGCACCGAATGCTTTGTGGACCCATTGCATCATCCATAGAGAAGCTCTTGCATCAAAATCTATGAGCTCCGAACTTAACCAAGTACTGGAATCTGTAATTAACGTAGTAAACTACATAAAAACTAGGCCTCTTAAGGCCAGACTTTTTAAAAAACTATGCTTGGATATGGGGGCTGAGCATACGGCCCTGCTGTATTATTGCAATTCACGGTGGCTATCACGTGGAAATGTTTTATTTCGTGTGTTCGAATTACACGAAGAAATTCGAACTTTTTTACAGCAAGAACGTCATGAAAGCGCCAAATATTTTACTGAACCAGACTTTTTGTTAAAACTAGCATATTTGTGCGATATATTTGAGAAACTAAATAATTTGAATCTGTCTTTGCAAGGTAATAACACGCACATTCTGAAACTATCGGAGAGAATTGCGGCATTTAAAAAGAAACTACAGTTGTGGATAAATAAAATGAATGAAGGCGGCGGTCAAGATTGCTTCCCGCAGCTGTATAAATATGCGGCATCTAATGAATTGGTTGTCTCACCAGACCTGATTGCCCTCTTCACGGAACACCTATTGAAGCTCAGCGAATGGTTTTCGGCGTACTTTAAAGATGATGATGTTGAAAAATTTGCATGGATCAAAGATCCTTTCCACGCACAAGCTCCACCAGGGTTCACATCACAAGATGAAGAGAGTCTCATTGAGCTCTCTTGCGACAGCAGTCTTAAAACTAGATTCATCACTTCCGACTTGTTGGAGTTTTGGTTATCAATTCAAAATGAATATCC